GTTGTATTTATCTTAATTTGTTAAGCGAAGTATAAGCATTGCATAATCTGGACTTAATTATTCTTATTCTTATTTAATCTATTTCTATTCATTTGTAGATTCTCCCTGATTAGACGTAGGCTGACTTCAGCTCAATATACTCAACTTCTCTGCTTTGCTTCAGCTGTCAAGGGGGGYTATTATTTYGCYAGCTCCTCAGCCTATTCGTAATAAACAAATTCTCGCAGCAACAACAGCTCTCAAAATAWTTTCCACAATACKTTAAATCTCTGTTTCACTCAAATATATTTTGTTTCATAAATTTCTTACGTAGTTAAYTGTTTCTGACAGACRCGCGATGCCTTGCTCAGTGTCCATTTTTGAATCAGGCTCAAATCGCTATCGGCCCAATGTGCGCATTGGCAATTGGTTTGAGGACAACTGCTTGGAGCTGGTGAGCTGCAGATGTCTAACAAATAGTTTTCATATAGTAATATATCGATTTCAGGACAAGATGGTCAGCTTTCGCAAGATGCGAGATCGCGGCGAGCTGCTGGTGGAGAAGGCCCGCACGCTGTTCGACAACTTCCAGCGGGAGGTGCAGCTGGCGGCGCCGAAGCACGACATAACAATCGGHGCGACGATCCAGCTGATGCCCATCTACATGAACATACAGGACCTGGACACCTCAGATGTGCATCCAGCCCTGTCGGTGGTCATCAACGAGTACGCCATTCGCACCAGCCAGACCATCAACGAGGACTGCGAGCTCACTGTGGCGCCGTCGGAACGGCCCTGCGTGCGCAATTCGTTTCGCATTGTGAGCGGGGACGACAAGGATCGGTCGGGCGAGAAGCTGAAGTACGGRCAGCGCTTCAGGCTGGAGTGTGTCGAGCCGACGAACGATCCCATCCTGCTCTACAGCGCGCCCAAGCTGAGCAACCTCACGCAGGCGATTAAGACGACTTTCGACTCGAGCAAGCACGGGGAAATCAACTTGCCCTTGGGGCTGGTGCATCGCAGCGTATGTACTGCCAACACCCTCTAAATCCATTGTGTCTATACGCTCACTTCCCGCAGAGGATTTTGTGTCCCGATGGCGACATACCCACGGCATTCACCAACTGGTACTGCATGCACGTCGATCCATACAAACGCTTCGAGAGCGAAGGCGAGACGGTGCCCGTGAGTAGATAACCTATA